CCAAATTTTAATAAGGTGCCCACTACCGCCTTTGTTAGCGATGACGAAGCAATTTTGGACAATAGCTTGCGCAACTTATCGACTAAATCGATATCGGCTTACGAGGCGTTACGGGCCGCTATAGCTACTGACCACATTTTGATTAATTGCATTCTTAGCCTGCCTGGCTGCAGTGAGCCTCGAATTATTAACTGGCGCCGATTAATTAGTGAAACCGATTATGGTACGGCGGGGTGTTAAAATATTTTGAGTGGTTGTAAAAACATTTTAGTTTTCTTTGTAAAAACACAAAAGAGTTTTAGGTATGAAGTAATTTTTGTATGTAGATACTTAATTTATCTCTCAGATCTAATTTCATACGGTAGTTTTAGTAGTCGTGGGCGAGACATTAGTTGACAACTCCCATGTGCCTGTACCATTTCACCAGCACCCTTACCCTTCAAAACCGAAACTAGTAATGCGCACAGTACTGCTTGGTGGCAGAAATAGGTAAGGTGGCAGTACTTTCCAGGACGAACTGCTACTAAAGTTAAATTAGTTGTTGCATGAAGGTGTTACAACTTCACTTTTTCCTACTTAGTAGGTATAAAATATTCTCAATGAGTTTGTATAAATGATACCGTTTCTATTAGGTACAGCACTAAAATTATTCCTTGTTTTTAATTTTTGTTTTACATAATGCGTTGTCCTATTACAGTATTATGTTGTAAATAATGTGCAATATTAATAATCTAAATTTCACAATGAAACTAAGCACCGATAAAACTTCAGGCTTTTACAAAGGTTTTTGACATTTGCTAACAAGGTCCCACTTCATTTGCCGACATTGTACGGTTGGAATAAATCAAATCGATCTCCACACAGCTTCCAATAAACCGATACATTTATTGATTTGTTACAGCTTTAAATTGGTTCCCAGCAGTGCATCGTCCAACATTGTGGGTACCTCCACATTTAGGGTTACGGTCACGTTTTAGGATTTTTTCCTTAACCAATTTAACGGGTCCAGCACTTGATTCGATTTTTGTTCGCATGTGTCAATTTTATGATAATTAGAGTTGCAAGCGCGAAAGTGTTAATTAGCTATTACTAATAGTAAAATTAACACTTTTCACTGTGTATTTTACTAAGTTCCTGTACAAAACATGCACTTTGTAGTGAATCCAACAGTTCTAACACGTAAAAACCGGTAACTCGTGCTAGGAACTGCTTTTCCTAGCGGTTATTTATTACGCACTGATACTACATTTGTAACTCCTATTCATTGCTAATTGAAATGAGTAGAAAAGCGTGTGCGCAGAATAGACGTTTAGGGCAACGGGTGCAGCGCGGCCCCCTGCCGCTCCGAACACCTTTTTACTTGGTCGACGCTGCGGGTGCCGCTTGATTGCCTCCGATCTCATCGTTTTACGTTCCCCATAAAGCCAACAATAATTCATTTAGACGACGTGACGCCACTCATTCGTTAACTAGGTCTACTGTAGCGAGAACGTGATTTTGGTGCGTTTTACTCAGTATTGTTCCGGTGCTGAAAAGTAAAATGCCTAGAGTACGTTCCTACCTGCTCATTGTCACGAAAACCGATAAAATTGTTGCCATTATATTTTTATGAGTAAAAGTGTCACGACTCAGTTTTTTTTTTCAATTAATTGTTTGCTATATTATTATATACTTACGACATTTGTATAGAATTTTCCGCTCAGACTACACTCTGTTTACGTGGTTTATTGTTGTCCAAAATTGAAGAAAAAGTCTAAAAACCCGTAAATGTAATTTTTGATAGCTTTTGGTAGATCATTCCGGTTGTGTTACGATTTCAAAGCGGCGTGATGACCCTCTGAAACTAATTAGAGCTCTTCAATCGAAACCAATATCCGTTGCACTTAATAATGGACTAACCAAATCTATCGGAGTACCGGTGTAAGTAAAACAAACAAACAAAGTTATTCCGAACCATTAGGCACAAGATCCGACTGTTAATGTCTCAATTTAGAAACGGACGTAAATCTTCAAAGGCGTGACAATTACTGTTACTTCCCGGCAATACAAACAAAAGGTTTTCCGTCAATTATCGATAAATTAACCCGATTAAGCAGTCCATAGCAGACGGCGCCGGAGTGCCTTATCTTCGGACATGCCACGCTTTTAGGCAGGGACCAACGTACAACACTCTGTCGCATCGTGATTTTAAAACTTTAAACCAATTTGCTTTTTATTAGGATTCCATGAGACACTAATACTCGTTTCGAATGTTCTCTGTTCAACATTTTCATTTAACGCGTTCATCTGAGATATATCGAGTTTATTTCGATAAGACACTGCGTATAATGAATAATTTAAATACCGATGTTATAAACTCAAGAACAAAGGCTGAGTAAATTGTTGTTTTTTCTCTAGTGAAACAATAATAACTAACACAATATTCAAAAGCTCAAAGCGTAAGTATCTACAAGATACTGAAGCATAACAAGCTCCTACTATTGAAAGCGTTTAAACCTTTTAATAGAACCGGACCCTATTGTGACTAATCATGATTAAACGACTTTAGACAAATTGCATGACCGTGACTAAGCATGTAAGGAGTCGGGCTCGATCCCAAATCATTAAAAGAACAATTATAGATATCGTATTCCCACCTGCAACCTGTTGACGGATAATGATCTCTTTCTAAGCAAACTTCACCAGTCCATCATTGATCGTCGTTATTGCGCGGTGACGATTCAAATTTAATTGCCATTGATACGTCCGTTGCGAAAACGAACCTTTTATTCCGTAATAGGCGTCGAATATCACGCCTTGTAACATAATCTATTGAGGAATTTTAAATATCAGTGTTACGGGTCCTTTATTATCTTTTTCTTAAATGGATTGCATGAGGGTTTATATTCTACATTGAATAGTTCAACTATTGCATTATAGAACAATTACACACGGTATACCAGGAAACAGTCACCATAATCAGCACGTAGTAGCTAACAACGGTAGATTTAATTGCACGACGATTGGATAATTCCGATAAACGAATCTACAACTCGTTAAAAATCTTTTAAACGGCACAAATCTCGATATTGTACTAACCACTTTTTATTTTGTTTATCAGCAAATTGAATGTCTATCAAAACTGTTGCCTACTTGTAACTAGACAAAAAGCTATTTAACCGCATTGTTGGGGATCATAGGCGTTTTTTGCTTTTTAAACAAGAATAAGAACCAAGATTAGGAACGTCGCTGAACTCCCACAAAACGTTAACAGATTTTGAACGGTTTGTTTTCTTTGTACAAAACGCTGCTCCCGATATAATTAAAGACGTCGGGCGGTAAGTGATGACTGGTCACCATTAGACGTGTTCTCAGCCATATCGAGCTTTTGACGGGGTGTCTGCGCGGAAGGCTCTCCTTTCAACGAGGATCGGCTCAGCGCATCAGCGCGCCGATTACGTAGCAAACAAATTGTGTAGAGGGCATCTTTTTGTGCTTTCGACGTGCTAACAATGAGCGAAGCCGCGCAACTGATCATTACCATTATTCTCTATAAGGCTTTGTGTTTTGAGTAAATTATAACACATCATTTTATGTCTTATTCGACGCGCCGGAGCTGCGAGACGCGCATTCGCTCTGCTCACAATAGACCCTTCATTATCAACGGTGACCACATTAAACCTTTACCAAGTAACTGTGTTTTAAGCACCTACCCATTATAATAATCATTGTTAAAGACAAATTCTTTCAATTGACAGTTTATTTTCGTATTGAGGCGTAATTTTCTATAACAACTCCGTGTCTATGAACGGTAGGTACCTACATATGGAACTCGTCCATTAAGCAATTAAATTGAATTGTTGTTCCTTGTTATAGTTGTCTGATGAATGTACTATTTACAAGACGAGTTTTAATAATCAAGTGAGTAAGCGGAATAAGTCCAATTGCGTAAATAAGAGCAAATTACATTTCAATTTGTAACATTGAAGTGTTGGAAATAAACAGAGCTAACAGCCGCATTATGTCAATTATTTTTGTATACTGCTTTGATAATTGTAATGCAACGTTTCATTGTTATTACAAATAATAATTTAATTGATTATCGACTCAAACAATTAACACCACGCTAACTTGAATTTTGTCGATTTAGTGTTTTTAATGCCAAATTATTCAGTTAATTTCAATTAAATCAAAGTTAAGAAAATAAAAGTAATTATCATTATATTTAAAAATCTATGATGAATATCTCGTAGTTAAAAAAAATACAAACGTATGTTTAAAAGCTCTGATGAAAAGTTGCAATTATTAAGTTAGCGTAGTATCTATTAATGCTGGTGCCAATATAATTTACGCTAAACGACCACTAAAATGTTAGTTAAACTCGAAGCTTTATCTGAACTTAAAAGTAGTTTTCAATAATAAAAAAATATTTTATTTCCACACCATGTATCATCAAGTAAAGTTACTATATACTCAAATTATTATGTAACTGACATGAAAGAGTAATCAAAAACTAGTTACAAAAACAACGCGCGCAAGATGATGCGGTGCAGCTCAGTAGCCGGACAACGAATTCTACGACAATTACAGCCGGACAGGCTATGATTAAATTATGGCACTTACCCGGAGTGTTTCCTGAAAATTACATGGGATGGCTCTCGCAAGGCTGCGTCGGCACGCGATCCGTGCACGCATTAAACGTTATAATAGCCAACGATTTTAAAACGCGACCAATGACGCATTGGTTTTAACGCGCCGTTGGTCACTCATGCTGTGCACATTGCAATTAAACTGAATAACTCAAGAAATTGTGAGAAAATTACGTTTAGATAATTTGTTATATTTATGTTGAAACACGATCTGTTGCTTGAGCAGTTACGAGCTTGTGCTGCGGAATTACTGTGTTACTTAAATGCGTTCTTGTCTATGAGAAAACTGATTTTACATAGTTACTCTCTCGCTCGATATTCCAGAGTTATCATACGTTTGAGATGTAAGTTGAATTCGTAATTTGCCCACAGGTGTGTGCACCAATGCGACAGCGCCAAGTGTGTCATCCATCAACCGGATATTGAGGAACAGGGCAGCAGAGCGCGCGGCGGCGGAGTTCGCCAGGGCAGCAGGTTACGGTCTTTACGCTGCTCCTCCACCCTATGGCGCCTTCCCTTGGGCTGGAGGAGGCAGCGTCTGGCCTCCTGGTACGCTGTCTTTACCACCGGGAGTTCCAGGTCCACCCTCAGGAGTACCTCACCCTGATGCCATCCAGCAAGGATTACTTTCTGTAGGGCGAGGATTTATTGGTAAATATTTATTTTGCGGGCATTAAAATAAATATGACCTTTAAATAATGGTTCCAACTCCCAAATTTCTTGTTCAGATGTAGATGGAGATGACTCCGGATCTCTTGACGGGGAACAACCAAAGTTTAGAAGAAACCGAACGACATTTAGCGCGGATCAGCTAGAAGAATTAGAGAAAGAATTCGAGAAATCCCATTACCCGTGTGTGTCAACACGAGAGAGGCTGGCATCTAAAACTTCGCTGTCAGAAGCACGCGTACAGGTGACAACCTCATAGACTTTATTAACCGATTCCATATTCATAACCAACAGGCCAATTAATAGTATTATAATTTCTAGGGAACTAAAACGACTTAATCAAATCAGAGTTATAATTTGACACTCATTTATATTCATGAATATTTGTTAGCAGTGAGAACCGAATACTAATCACGTTTATTTACCGTTACTGACAGGTTTGGTTTTCCAACAGACGAGCAAAGTGGCGACGCCACCAGCGCATGAACCTCCTCAAGCGCGGTGGCGGTTCGCCCCCGCGCCACCTCCCCCACTCCCCCTCACGCTCCCGTTCGCGTTCTATATCCCCCGCGCGCGCGCCCTACCACACCCCTCAGATGGGCGGCGAGAATAGCGCGTTCAAATCTCTCTCGCACCATGACACGAACGCCCTGAAGGCTCTCTCACATCAAGCGCAGTTCGATAGCAACGCTCTGAAAGCACTATCACAGCAAACGGTATTCGAAGGAGGTGCGTTTAAACCACACCCTGCACTAGAGAACAGTGCGTTTAAAGCTCTCGTGCCGCACTCAGCCGCTGCAGCACTGTTGGCGGCGCAGTCGATTCAATTGGCCCGGGGTTATGAATCGCATTCCGACTCTGATGAGGAAATAAATGTTCACGATGAAAGCGATGATGAAGGAGATAGACAGCGGAATAAGGTTCGATCGAGATCGCGTACTCCCAACAAACATCATCATCAACCTGCCAATGATTTGCCCTTACAACTTACTAAACACGATCGTTGATGCGTTGCAGAGTATCAAGTTGAATTTATAATAATGTCAAAGTATTATTACCAGTCATTCCTTTGGAGTGTCCGTGTACCGAGTAATTATGTAAATCGATCGAGGGCACTTGACTTTGCTTGTAAATTATTGTAAATATACGTAGTCGTGTAAATTGTTATATAGTTACTAATACAATAATAGATGTTTAAATTTATTTTTTTTTATGCACAAACTGTTCTCTTCATGAAGGTCATATAAATGATTGGTTAGTTTCATTATCTCTTAGAGCAGTCGCTTTACGACCCGACTGTACACCACCTAGACCCCTCCCCTCTTGGTGACTTGTGCAAATTTGAAAACTAGTAAATATCTAAACAATTTCAATAAATTATTTAAGTAATGTGCTAGAACGTTGTCTCATTTGTATATTTTGTACGTATAGAATACCAAAGTATTATTTCTTGGTGGCTAAATGTAGCAAAGTTTCAGGAAACAAAAGTTCCTAATGGTTTCATCCTAAAATAATACAACAAAATGTAAGATATTGTAATAGATAAGTGCGTACCACAAATTATAGCTGTTAGTACCATAACAGAAATTTGAAATATTTACGTGTTAGAATTTCAATGGATACTAAAGTTACGTGTAAATATTGTTAATCATTCTCGAGCACAGGGGCCTTACCATGAAATCTTATGACGATTCAGATTAGGACCTAAAATGAATCGTTGTGAGATAGCGCTACATGAAGTGTATATTACCATCCCGCTTTTTTGTCGCTACGAACTTATACTGAACTGTAATAAGAGGTCATGGTAAGGCCCCTGTGTACTATTTATTGCTTAGACAATTGTAATTTTATTGTACCATAAATAGACAATTTACATACGTACCTACTCGTATTACGGATATTAAAAAGAAAATAGAAATGATATTCCTGTATTTTTATTCAACCCCTTTCTTCCTTTGGTAATAATTTTAGGCTACATTGAGAACCTATAATAATAATAATAATAATAATAATAACACACACACTCAACATATACCAACATAACCTATAATTAATAGATTTTGAGCTGGCGTATAGTTGCCAAATAATGAATAATATAATTGTGTAGTGATGACAACAAAATTGTAAGTTAATATAATAACTAAAAACAAAAATTTCTTATCTACCATCAAAATTTAATTGCAATTCACTGCGGATGCTCTATTTTCAAAAGAAACCAAAAAAGCGAAATCAAATCCTGCAATTAACCCTTTCACTCGGTCCCCGGCACGTAAGGCAGGCCGTAAGAGTTTGGACTCTTTGCAGGCATATCATGCGAGACAATTATCCTTTTTTTTCATTGTTATTATATCCCGAATCAGTCCTTCCCGGATATCGGCAATCATTCCAGTGAAAGCCAAGTAACAAAAAGTATAAAACGAAGGAACAAAGCGTCATTAGCGAATCTTTAAATACATGCTGTATCTTGTTTATATGTTCACACGATTGAGAATATCGAAATCAATATCACAAGCAATTATTTTATAGTTTACTACTTTTGAAAGTAGATATGAAAGTTTAAATTCCAAACTTTTTACAATGTTTTATGAAACAATTGCGTTCAATGTTAGTATTTTCGGTTGATAGACACACAAAAAATCATGCTATAGTTAATGATCTTATTGTGAGGTAAAACGAATGATTGGAATTAAACAATTAAGAGGATAAAATGCATTAAGCTAATACAGTAATAAATATTTATTGACGAACATTTTGCAGTAAAAATGCTAGAAACGAGAGCGCAGTTCTTTAGAAATAATTATCTTTAAGTGGCGCCAATTGACTTTTTATAGACCTTAAGATTAAGTAAAAAAAAGTTGTACTTAATCTTAAGATTAAGATTAAGTGCAATTTGATTGAGTGCAATCTTGAATTTCTTTTTACGAACTACAAAGGTCAGACGTAACGTATTTTTACTACTTATTTGTTCTTATTTCAAAGGTAGTAATCAAAATCAGATATACACCTGTTACTTGAGTCAGTCCAAGGTCTTGTACCTTATGGTCATTCTTGAGGAACATGCACTTTAAGAGTATGTATTGTTATGCAAGCACTTACTACGTAGGAAAAATCCATCGTAAGGTACTTTTTTACCTATGAATTGACACATTTGTTTACAAAACAAGACAAAGGTATGGGTATGCTAATTATCAATATTGTAGGAGGAAAATTATTCAGACTTAAAATAAATAAAAAAGAGCAGAACGCCTGAAACGCTGGTCTTATTCATTTTTTAAATTACCATTATCTTTAGTCTATACTTAAACAAAAAAATATAGCAGAATCATTCTATCATTAATTTACAGTCTCTTATTCAAGAAATAAACGTGCTGCAATGAAAATGGTTTTACTTCACAGATTGCGTTGGTAAATGTTCATAGTGTAGACGCAGGTCTATCATTAACAAATTGCTAGTGCTGCACAAAGTTTATGATATCTGAAACAGAGAATGCAGCCGTATTCTGTGACGTAGAGTAAATACGGGTAATATGTAGAGCTGTGGAAGTGAAGATGGAGAGAAAATATGTTGACTCCATAAGGTAAGTTGCTACTAGTTTAGTATCACGTATATCATCGGCATGTGATATAAGTTTATTTTATGTAAAAAGTAGTCTGTGATCTTTCCTTAGCCAGTTATTATTCTAGTTAATCCAATCATTATTGTAGTTAATCAACGCAGCATTCAGAGATAACTTTTTGGAATTATTTCTTTTTATAGAAATATTAAGATACAAACAAAATATTAGGGTACATATAATTAAACCTAATTTAGAAGATCAAACGGAAATATCATTCCAATATCCGTTATAGACAAAATAGGATGATTCGGTACTAGATGTTTTGTCACATGCATCTACCGAACTCGTAAAAGACAAGGCATAAAATCTTTATCACACTTATCTGGTGGGAATCGTAAAGGTGCGTCCAGAATAGCGGTGTGGTGGATAAAGTTGTAACGTCGTGATAGCCGCGGAGTGAGGATGCATGTACGCCGCCTCGCCAATAACAATAAATTTGGACCGTTTGAAGCGCCGGGTGGACACTGCGCGATGTTGTGAACATTGGTTCATTTTAGAATAATAGGCGCCGAGAAAGTAGGCTCTGAAAATAAATTCTTAATGTAGTGAGCAAATGGTGCCTTTTCTTTAGATATAGCTCATCTAAATAAATACGGTGTAACTTAACTAATCATCCCCATTAAAAGAGCACCACGCGACAAACAGCAAACTCAGAGAAAATCTACCTCACGGATGAAGATTTAGTAAAATTGACTATTTTAAGTTCAATTTTCGCACCTATGCGACAATTGTGTTCTGAATGATGAATATATTTTTTAAAATTTTCTATTATATTATAAATTTCTATTAAATTACACGTAACCCAATAACGGAGTATATTCAATCAAGTTTATAATACAATTCTGTCAACAGTCGACTTTCCTGACAACTATTTAGCGTTTAATTTATTCATTTTATAAAATTATTACGCTATTATGTAAATATGTTTGTAATTATTTTCATTGCGAACAAATGTTGATGAGTTATGGCTTATTTTATGGGTGGTTATGCTAATGGTTTGTTAAAAGAACAGATTGTGATTCAATTGATCATTATGAAGGTAATAACTACTTAGGTCAGTAATAGTTACGTAAGAGTAATAATATAGGTACTACTCGATTTTTGAAATTTAAAAGGTTCCAAAGGTAAACAACTCTTTCTACTTCCATTAATATAATTGACCATTCCATTTTCGTTGTTATGCTTGCTGTACTTTAACAAACTTTTATAATAATAATAAAATGTCATTCATATGTTTTTTTTATGAACAGAGTATTTGACTACTAACGAAATCCAAATATTTTTCATTGTCTTTAAAGTACGAGACTAAATTGATAATTAAATGCGACAAAAGGAGTTGAAAGTTGAAAAATAAAACTGTTACTATCATTTAGAAATCAGGAGACTTTGGAGTTGTACAACCAATAAATATTTTTTGCTCCATTTTGCTGAAAAAGGACGCAACGTCTACCTATCACAGGCTTTAGCTATTGATATATCAAAAAACTAATTTCTAATTAATTTTCTGCTTGTACATATCAGTCAATTGAAGCATTAAACAATTTTGAGTCACATATAGTGTTACATGTCCCAAAATTGTATAAAATTAATTTCAGAGAAATTGTATACAAGAATTTAATAAAAATTGACAGAACGTGTTTTGTGTATGCGCGTTTCGGTGCAGTATGCTCCTGTCGCGGAGGAACGATACAGATTAAGCAAACGTGTGAACGGCGCTCGGCCATATCGCTACATTTAACTGCAATATTGCTAATATTTTAGCAATATATTTTTTAAGCCTGTGTGATTAAGGTATACATGCACTTAGATTTAGTATTATGAGATTTTAAGCGCAAAATTTACTTCTAATGTGTTTAGGTAAATATGACATTGGTAAATTTACCATGAACTTAATGAGAATTATACAAATTTTATTGCCAACTCTGTATTGACAAATTCGTAAGCATTGAAGCCACCAACTCGTAGATAAGTTTTAAAGATTATTAACATCGAAAATGGTCGTAAGAGCATACCAAAACAGGAAATCATCCGTATTAATTCCCCCTAAATTAGGTTTTAGATACGGTTGTCCTTTTTTGGTATATTTTTACATTTTTCTTTATCAAGCTTTAAGGAATATGACACCTTTTGCAGATAAAATTCGTATGCAAATTGGCTGAGTAATCATAACGTAAGTTATTTAATACGTGCCCAGTTGATACGACCTGTTCGGAGGTAACATCGTGCAGTCATAGGCCTTAGCGACACCTCTTGACTTTCAGAATACGCATTTTTCTTTAAAACTTATTGAATTTCTTCTTTTTCAAGCTGGAATATTACGTAATGAGTTTATTTTGTTTATATGACGTTGAACAGTATAAAGAAGGTATTAATAGGCGTTTATAATTACATCCCCTTGTTAACGGTCTACGTTTTTCTCTAGTATGTTTTTGTTGTTGACGTTTTTGAGTGCCTCATTAATTTTTGAGGCAAAGGTATTTTTCCTCAATCATTTTATGCGAATGTGGTGAAATTAGAAAACGTGTTAATTTACGACTTTGTGACGTTACTGTTCTAAAGTGACATGTTTTAGTCGTAAATTACAGACTTAAATGCTTCATAACATTTAAAAATCTACGTATTTAACGGAAATAGATTGGAAATTAAATTAATTCACAATTAAAATTTATTTAATATTTACTTTTATGGTCTATTTATCTATCATCAAGCCAATTATTGTTCGTTAATTAAAAAGATATATCCTTCCACTAATAAAGATATAAATAAAAGTATTTCTCCAACAAGTCGTAGCAAAAAAAATGGTGTATCTTAGTTTCCCATAAAATCATGAGCAGATTCGAAATGTAAGCACATTAAGTTATCGGGCAAATTATCTGGCTAGTGTGACAATATTTATTCGTTCTCACTCGAGGACGACTGCGCCGGAGTCGGAGTGTTCCTCCCAATTAGGTGGTTATTGACGTTTTACTGTTATCAGTTAAATCTCCGATCATTGGCCCCTATTTATAGCTGCTGCTTTGGTTTTTGGAATAAGGATGCATATTTACATATATTTCGACTTTGGTTCTCCTAATATTGTTTCTTTAAATAAAATTGTAAAAAAATATCCTACCACTTTATTCTTGAAGAGTTTGAAGTACATGAAAAATGATTTTTTTACGATTGGAATGGACTAAAACAGGATTTGACTTCAAAGAAACAAAGGTTTTTTAAAAGTCTGAACGTAACGCGATTTGTACGTATTGTACATATTAAATGAACATCCATACTATACATATGAGAACGGTGTAGTAACAGAGACTAAGTCGACATTTATCCGAAAAAGGGAAGCTGTTAATAGAGTCATTCAACGTTACCGGTCGAATTATCTACAAAGAGGAGTCGGCCGATGTCGGTCGGAAATATAAATTTATTTGGTGGTTGTCGCCGGACACGGGCGCCCGCGCCTATATCTCGCCGCGTAATCTTGAACATTGGCGTTAAAGAATTTAAATTATTCGTCGATACAAATGAACGGGCGACCTTAGCTTATTTATTGCCTTAATCCAAATTACATCGACTAGGCTTTTTGAATATTGAGCACTCCGTATACATGATTTGTGCCGTCGTATCGACATCGTCGTGTTATTACACTGTTATTATAACTTATATGATTAGATGTGTACGTTTGAATTTAGCTAATCGAACACAGGTGGCTTGTCAGTTAGTTCTGAAGAAAAAATATTTATGATTATGACTAAGGTGAACGAAAGTCACAGCACTTGCGTATATCATGGCCACAGACCACATAAATGTGATCATGACATACTAGTATATCATCTGAGGCGTCAGCTCCTAACTATAAATTCCAATTACTAATATTTCGCTTTGCCAGGCACTAATTAACTCGGCACCCAATTCACGCACGCGTACGCGCATTGATCGTTAATCGCCTCAAGATAACATTTCTCTTACTACTGTAGTACCTTCTCGTGCAGACATGTTGTATTATATAGAGGGTGGTAAGAGGCAAATATCGCTAATGTTGTATTCGATTTTTCTATTCTAGTTAGTTCTGTTGTCCTGATGAACGTTTTTGGGCGCATTTATTCGACACGAATTTCATCGCACTCACCCCGAGCCGTCGCCGCGCGGTCGAAGCGCGGAGTCCGCGTTGCCGTCGCCGCCGCGCAGCGACCGCGTGTAACTGTCGTGGCAAAATACGCTCTATTTCTTTAGCTTTTATGTTTTAACTTAAAATAGCGTCCCGGGCACGCGGGCAAGCCTGCGTATTCAGAGGAATACGCAGGCATACTGCGGAATACAGGAACACTGCGTGAATATTATACAGAGGAATTTAAATAGCCTAGTAAATAGAATTTAAATTCGCCATTAATGTACATGAAGGCGTGGTAACTGAACGGGCGCCGCGCGGCGGCCGCGGGTAACCTTTCGCCTCGTGTAACTGGGCGCTAAGGTGATATTCTACACATTAGTCAATGTGTTAACTTTTTGAAAGTTGAGGGAACGCTACCAAATCCAAGAAATTAGGTTTTTGTGTATGTTACGTGATTACTGCGACATTTGTGAACCAATTTCGATGATTCTTTTTTTGTTGGATATTACGCCCACTTTCTGTTAACCGATTTCAATAGAACTTGGCACATAGGTGTTTTTTATATAATACCAAGTGACGGGACGAACAAGTCGTGTGCCTGGTGGTAAGCGACGCCTCTACTTATCCATAACAGTTGCAGTTAAGTACCACACATAGCTTTAAATAGCTGGATTTTAGAGGCACTGCCCCATCACCCTGAGACATAAGTTGACAATGTGCCTGCAATTTTACCCTAGCCCTTCCAAATCGGAACGCAATAATGCTCACATTACTTTCTGCTTGGCGGCAGAAACAGGTAAGGTGGCAATACATCCCTGAACGAACTTTTTCACATGGAGCTATTGCTACTAATGTAATTCCAATGAAAATAAACACAGCCAAAACGGATAAGCAAAAATTTGAGTGCGGCTTTGTTTTTTATAAAAAAGTTATAGCTGTTGGTAAAAGTGACTGTCATAGACATATCAATAAAATAACTTAATTTTTCACACTGCTGAGGTAACCAACAATGTATTTGCAAATACATGATAAAAAAAAATTGTAAAGTTATTATGACAGTAGCAGTATACAGAAATAATTTCAATATAGATTTAAGTGTATCGTGTCTAAATCGATATAAGTCTATCGAATTAAACCGTAACATCTCCATGTCTCCCGAAGCTTATATTTGAAATAAGAACGTAGCAATAAACTTTATTAAGCTTAAGGCTTCGTGTGCAAAATTGCAATATCATTTACAGCCGACGGCTGTAACTGCCAAGCGCCATAATAGATATATTATTAAAAATGCTGTACAAATGATCCTAGATGTACATATAGAGAACTATGCAAGGTGTTATTTGTAGGTACAGTCGCTTGCAAATTAACTTTATACAAAAAAAACCCTCAAAAATCTCGGTAACCGTTGGTTGAATTGTGGAAAGTAAATTTGAATAATTGTTACGTAAAAAAGGTTTTATTCAATTGTGGCAGTTTATTAATTTAAAGAGCAATCGTAAATACCCGTATCCTATCTCTGTCATATTTATATCAATTTATATATTGCATTTTTCTCCTTCATTGGATGTAATGGGTGGTTTCAATTTACTGCGTCTATACGCGAGACGGCACTTGCGTCATTTCGTTCTGTACCTATCATAACCTAACCTCAGTGCAAACTACTAAAACAACCGAGCTCAAAAGTCATTCATCTCCTAGTTTACCATCCTTAGAGGTCGAATATTTTCTTCAAAGTTAAATGGGACCGTTTCTGTGGTACCCTCTTTCCAACAAAAAAAGAATCATCAAAATCGGTTCACAAATGGCGGATTTATCGCGTAACATACCTACATACAAAAAAAACATACAGTCGAATTGAGAATCTCCTCATTTTTTGAAGTCAGTTAAAAAATTTCCAGCTGGTGAAACGGCCCCATAACAAATTTGTTAAATATACCTAGAATATTGGAAAACGTAATTTGTGTTTCGGCGTTTGCGTTGGGATTTGGTATATATTCCTCAAATCTCGACTGGTGGAGATCGTTAGATTGTTTTGCACAAATCTCCATTCAAATAATACTTTTTTTATAACAATGACGGCACGAACAAGTTGTGCGCCTGATGAGCGACACGACCATCCTTAAAAATTGCAGTGTCATTCAGAGTTTTAAAAAGCAAAAATCTGAGCGGCTCTGCCGCTGCGCCGGTCAACCTCAGACCCAAAGTTGACAAGTCCAGCACCCTTATACTTAAAAACCGCTCACATTGGCTCACTAATTGGCGGCAGAAATACGCGTGGTGGCAGTACTTCCCTGAATAAACTCTAATGATAAATTCACATAGAAAAATTCGTGAGGTCAAGGAAGGAAGGAAAATTGCTTAGTTGGCATAGCATCTGGCACGCTTTGCTAGAAGACGGTGGTTCGAATCTGGCAGATCGAAGGAATTTTTTCGAAGTGTTCGGTCTTTGCATTAATAATTATAATAAACTCTAATGCTTAATTTAGGTGCCTGATTCCTAATATATTGAGCATACAATTTTTAGAATTATTTCTATGTAGACCGGGTAGTGTTTAATACTCGTCGTTCGAAATAGCTTCTTTTTTTTCTTGTAATGTCAAGTGACGGGACGAACAAGTCGTGTACCTGATGGTGAGCTACACGCCTATCCATAACAGTTGTAGTGCCACTCAGAGCTTTAAATCGCAAAGATCTAAGGGCCACGGCCACTGCGCCCGTCACCCTGAGACATAAGTCGGCAAGTCCTATGTGCCTGTAATTTCACCAAACGATTTCTACGAGTTTCGCTAGAAATTCACTTGAACGAACGCATTTTGGGCAGGTTGAAATCTCATCTGAAGTTTATACGAGACTTGATATGAATTAATTTATAAAGGAAATAATTATAATAAAAAATTAATAAAACTTTAATTGCGACTAAAGCACAACATAATTATAATACCAATAAACATGCAATATTTAAGAAGCTACTACATGTTCATACGCAGACTTCTCTTCCGCTCTAACATTTTTTTCAAATCTTCTATTTCTTTAGAAGATACTGCGTCAAGAGTGATGTTAGGTTTATTGTTAATTTTACCAATGTTTAGTTTTCGAATACACTCACGTTCGGACATAAATTTCTTAACGGATTGAGTAACTTCGTCATACTCTTTCTTTGCTGTGTCATTATTGGCCCTTATCAGAGCTTTTTTTCTGTCTAATTCCTCTTTTATACCAATTTTCATTGCTGCTATTCTCTCCTGTAGCTCAGCTATGGACATTTCGCACAATAGACCCAATCCGGACGATTCGGTTAAATCAACAATCTTGGGAGCTTTAGCTTTCTTTGCGATTAAAGATAACACTTTAATCTCTTTTATCATTTTAATTTTTTTTTCCATTTCTTCCTGCTTTAATTTTAGGTATTCTGCCTGCAAGTCTGCAGTTTCCTTTTTTATGTTTGCAGCATTTTCTTTTTTCCTTTCTGCAATTTCATTTCTTGCCGCTGCAATATTAAGATCCGTTATCAAGCACTTTTCCACTTGTTCTCTGGAATGTTGGACTTGTATCATCTTCCATTTCTCGATAGCATCATTCCACAATTTTTTATCCGTAAGATATTCTTCGTATTTCTTCTTATTTTGCTCGTGAACTTTCTTTTTAGCTAATATAGCCTCTTCATAAGATATCTGACCCAATAAATGTTTTCTTTCTATATCATATAATCTTTCTTTTTCCTTTTCACTCCTTTCCAATTCATCTAACTCCTCAACCCTCGATTGATTTCTACAGCAAGACAGCAAATCATTAACCCAATCAATTTCTTCTTGTTCAATTTGCTGTTTTCTCTTATTACATCTTTGAATTAATGCAACATTTTCTCGAATGGGAGGTAAATTTGTTTTTGATATAATTTTCTTTGACCTTGGCAAAGAATCTATTCGATCTATTTCATATTTATTTTTTTGATAAATATCGTCCGATTTTGGTTGGGCATAGTGAAAATCTGATTTTTTAACAGTATTCAACAAATTTGTAGCTTTTTGTTTGTTATTATTTTTTAAAGTTTGCAATCGTCTATCAATTACGCTTTTAGTAAGCATTATTTTGTTTTTGATACGAATTCTAGAGTTTGGTGGAACATTTGGAAGTATTTCTGGTAAGGAAGTTGTTTCTTTCTTACTTTTCCTGTTCAAGACAGTAGGTTGTACTGGTATGGTAGGTGGTTTCATTCTACGCCTTTCAACTTTTTTAAGATATTTGGCATAACTGTGAGCCATTTCACTTATGTAGGGTTGCCAAGTAAACAATGGGTTGATAATTTTCTCGGTTACATATTTGGTATCATAGTTATCTTGAGCAACATCAGATATATAAGTAAGTATTTCGTTGTTACTTAAAAATTTGGTGAACGTAGCCAACAATGATTTACTTACATTAAACAAAGTTTTGAATAAAAGGTCCATATCCTTTGGACCAACTTGAAAAATTACAGCGTGAAAGATAATCATGAAGTAGTCTCGCTCTTCTTCGGTGAGCTTTTCAGAGAATCGGCCAGAAATTGCTTTTAAAAATGATTTGTGTTTCTGTATACCCAAGAATGTTTCAGCAATCCAAGTAAGTTTTATGTTGCCTGTTTGACGAGAACATTTTTCAATATAGGTCTGCATGTATTCATATGGAGAGATTTCGTGAGCAGCATCATAATCAAGCAAGATATTTCTTATTAGTTTGATATTCAGTGATGTGTGATAAAAATTCATATTTGAAATGACATAAAAAATTCCCTAATAACTTTAACGTGCATTACGGAATGACATTAACTTGGACAATTTAGTGACAGTGATGACATTTTTTATTATCATGTTCAATGCAACCAGATTGACGCTAATATGAATTAAAGTATAAAAAGATGTTATTACGAAACAATTTAAAAAATCAATGAAGGTGTGCGTTATTGTATTGTGGAGTGGTAGAGCTGGGGCGTTAGGTCAGGAGTATTCAATTAGGTAGTCAGTCTGTTTTTGCCGGGTGTGTCATTAATCAATCATTTTGACGAGAAGCTTTTATTCGACAGTTCGACACCTCAGGCGGGATGCAATCGCTGCGGTTGAGAAGTGCACAAAGTGCAAGTCACAGCACACTTCTGAAATAATGAATTGTTCAACATAAAAACCATAAATAACTACGAGAAATTTAAATAGGCAGGCCCATTATGGTGATTATTGTAAAACTAGAGTAATTTTGATTACCTTTATTATGTTAGAGGTGTAGATTTAATAAATTTTATGAAACAGTGTCGTAACAGGTTATGTAATTTAATGCAGTTTATATCGCCGTAAAGTTGCCTGCTTATCGGTATTCTACAGAATATATCAAGGAGAGTGTGCGATGGAATTGCACGATTTAATTCCGCCTTCACCTTTCCATCATCTGGGGACTAGACATAGGCTAGTGTTCTACCCACAGGCATTTATATATATCTAGATAGACGCCGCAAGTACAGCAATTTGTATGAAAACCAAGCGTGCAACATTTGTTGTACCCACTATGACTTCACAAGTACTATTTAATGATGGAAATCTCCTTCCGCTCGCTCTAAATCGATTGATTGAACGGAATACACTACACATACAAAACAATCCATTCGATTAATCGATTCTAAATATAATAATTTTTGTTCAAGTATTTGTTGATTACAAGTAGTCGCAATATTAATATAGTAGAAAAATACTAGAATAAGATAGCTAAGTCCTTTATTTTAATTGTTTTAAAAAAATGTTGATTACCTAAAAAAAAAATTAAGATTTTAATTTTTAATCGATTTAAAACATTAAAATTTATTGTACTTCCAACAAAATGAGCGTAATAAATAATATCATTTTGTAATAGAAGATCTCATCGATTAACCTAAATAAAAAAAACGCACGTCAATATATGAACTTGGAACTACCTTAATTAATTAATAAGAAAACCATCCAGTAAAATTTTACTGGATGGTTTTCTGTTGGTAATTGATGAATGGTAAGACAAATGAAAATGTAACTGCTGATAAAATATGGTAAAATCTTATTAATCAGAAGAAGTTTACTTAAACTTAGGCACAATTCTGCATTTTTCGCGTTTTCGACTGGTGTGCACAATAACGGTCGAGCGCGTTCTGAATTGTAGCAGCGGCATCTAAATGAATTTCACTTACTTTGGGCACGCGAAGTACGTTTTACTTGCGGTGTCTATCTAGATGTATGTCTGTGGTTCTACCCCTATGTTGTGGATATATCAAAGATTCGCACGAATCGTTACGTTTCCACATTTATATGGCAAACGGCTCGGAGTGTCATACCTTGCATGCAGACATATCTCTGAACGCTAAAACTTGGGTCTTTTCAAGGCGATAGTGAATAGGCATTATTTAAGTGTGCACGCACCATCGTCGACCTCTTCGTCACTTTTCATCATGTAAGTTGGAGGTCAAATACGTACTAATAACATAAAAGATGCAATGGTCATATTAAAATTATAATTGAAAGAACGAGAAAAATTTGTTTTTCCCACCAATTAGTCGATCTTCAAGCCTTTCTTGTTTATTTTGCGTAATAATAAACATGTGTTTATTTATTAAATTTGTAGTAGTAACCATTATCAGTGCTTACCCTACATTGAGACTCTGAGATCACTAAACACGTAACCGTTTTTTCTGTATCTCTAAAATAACTAACGGTGATGATACATTTTCTATTATAAGTCAAACTCATAATTACGGTTCATGAGCTAAGTGTATTCTCTGCTATGAGAAAGTGGTCGGTGGCTTATTGACTCTGTCAAAATTAATTCAACTTTGAACACAAATCAATTTCAACACAATATTAGCTGTCAAGACACGTCAAATTATCGTCCCTAATTAACGATCGCATCTTCGGTTCTTCATTCTCACGTCTATTGCTTTCTGAGGAATTCATTGTTATTGCTACCATTGTACTTTATTTCCCTTTTATACTTCTGAAATTAACTAAGTATTATTTGTGAATAATTGTAGGAATAATAATAATAGTTATTACTTTTATCGGTATTCTTACGTATAATTAACTACTTCTTTCATATAAAGAGTAAAATATCCGTTCCACTTTCATGCAACGATAATAAGATATTGACTTCCTTTTGCATATCATCAACACTAAGTATATACCTCACTAGTATCTACACAATTACGTTCCACAACTATGCATGGGACTCTAAGGAAATTGTTTTACGTAATAGTCTGCCCGGTTGGGGATTAGATCTTCTTAAAGTAAATGTTTTCTCAACTTTCCCCAACATGTCGGTAATATATTATTTTGTCCTCACTAGGAGTCAAACGCACCTAGGGCCTCCTACTCTGACAACCAAGCTATAATTTTTAATACAAAGATTGAACACTTAGAAAAAATTCCTTCGATCCGGCCGGATTCGAACCGACGTCTTCTAGCAAACCGTGCCAGACGCTATACTATTTCTGTATATATATATATATATATATATATATATATATATAATATTTCTGTCTTTGTTGTCATATCTTTGTATTTGGTTTGCAACGACTTTTTTTAGCTTTAATTATAACAAACTAGTGGAGTAATTTCACATAAAAAATAATTGAATATCAATTCAATAGAAATTTAAACCATGCTATTAGCTACGTCTATGTACAGAACAATTTTAGAAGCAGTTGATCACCTTGTGAAAGAATTCGTTCAGGATGTACTGCCACCTTACTTATTTTTACCGCTAGGCAGTAATGAAACATTACTGCTGCGTGTTGGTTGTGAAGGGTTAGAGCAGTGGTGAATTCACAGGCACATGGGACTTATCAACTTATGTCTCAGGTTGCCGGCCGCAGTGGCAGTCCCTTCAGATCTTTAAATCGATTTAAAGCTCTGAGCGGCACTGTAACTGTTATGGACAGGCGATTCGCTTACCACCAAGCGCAGGACTTGTTCATCCTGTCACTTACAAAATAATTAAAATAAATGTGAATTTTAAACTAAACATACGCTAAGAATTTAGTTATTAACGTTATATTTTCCACACTCGTCTGTTTTGGCATATTATGTTTGAGATACAATTTGGGTGTATATTTCACGCCCAACTATTTGTTTCGGTCGGAAACAATTAGCAAGCTGAGATGTAAATACTGGCGATATCAGTAACGATGATGGAACACCTTGTTTTTACAGGTGTTTCACTGCAAAGCAGACCACGATTCGTACCTTAACTTCAATTCTACTCCTTGCAGTAAATAACCTAGTGAACTCATTCGTGGTGTTCGATCTAACCGAAAACAATATATTTTAAGTATACGACAAACATTGTGACCAAGAGACGAACGATAAGTTTGAATTACTTAATACAGCAATAATTTGTAGGTATACCTAAACAACTCTTATATTTTATATAATAAACGTATGTGTACGTAAATGTGTGTGGCTGATAATGTATATGTAACGTACATATTATTATGCAACTGTAAATATCTATGATAATTATATTTATGATAGATTTTAATTATTTTAACTATTTCTATTTCTATTATCACTAGGCGCACGACTTGTTCGGCCCGTCCACAGAAATTTAAACAAATAGGCCATTTATTTAGATTTCTGGGGTCCCGTCACTTGGTATTATATATATAGCTGTAAACCTTTCTAAAATAAATAAAAGTTCTTTCTCTCTGTCTATAGGCAACGTTACTTAGATACGTACATTTTCTACACTTCGGTGTATGTGGTGGTGTGGTTCAATGCAATAAGTGGAAGGTATGAATTTATTACACATGTTTGGTGTGGTACTATCACCAGTAAATGGCGTTGCTTATATTCTGCCTCGCGTTTTAAATGGGTATAAAAGTAATAATTGAATTATTTTTTTATACAAGTTTTTTTAACGTACCAAATGACGTGAAAAACAAGTCGTGTGCCTGATAGTAATCGACACGCCTGTCCATAACAGTTGCAGTGCCACTCATAGCTTTAAGTCGCAAAGATCTGAGGCCCATTGTCACTGCACCCGTCACTCTGAGACATAAGTTGACAAGTCTCATGTACCTGTAATTTCACCAGCACCATTACCCTTCAAAGTTGGAACACAGTAATGCTTACAATACTGCTTGGTGCCAAAAATAAGTAAGATGGTAGTACTACCTTGGACGAGCTCTTTCACAAGAAGCTCTACAGCTAGAAGTGTTGCTGTTAAGTGTTGTTTAAAAAAACGTTTAAAGAAAGAAGTGAAGTACACGGGTAACTCACTTTATAATATATATGAACCTGGAGTCTTATTTCCTGCCTACAATCCTCAAAGTTCTTCTAGTACTAAAGTATACAATATGTATGCAATAGTAGAAGCCTTAGTAGAAACCATATTCAACGAATCAATGACAATACCAGTACCTACTCATTCTGAGTTGAACAAAAGTAACTGATTATTTTCCAGAGCGAAAATCGAAAGCCCACCTAAGGAGAGGCTCCATCAATCTCTTTGACCAGTTACAAAGGACCTTAACAAAGAATTATGAGTCTTTATACATGATCGCTACTATGTAGAGAGTTATTACTTCCATTTAATGACCACGATGTGATTAGACATTACCTCTCTATAGCTTTATTACATAAATCTTCAGAGAATATGACCGAGGCAATAACGACGAAATCTTGATGGCTTTATGGTCTTCATTAAAATGGGTTTATATATAAAATTCAAAAGAAAAACCTTAGAAATCCCATACGTGTGCTGTAAAGAAGCTGCAATGAAATTGTTAACGTCAAGGAGAAA